GTAGATTTTTTCTCTTTCCAAGGCATATTCCTTCCAGTTTTATGTCATGTCTCTTTAATGTGTTTATTGTTTTGCTTTTATGACCTTCCTGTTTTCTTTGTAGATACATCAAATTTCATGCACAGTTGGAACAAGCAACGTCTTTTGAAGGCTATCCCTATGTTAGATTTCCTTCTTGGATGCGTTTTAGCATTCTTGACATTAACGTTTTTTTTTCAAATGACAGCTCTCTCGCTAGAACCAGGATTTCTTTGACAATCCGTTAAGATCTGCAAGCATAATTTTGCCTATTTATATTTGTGCCGCAATTTGGTTTAGAAATGCAAATTACAAACTGATTCTTCTCTCTACATGATCTGGAAAAAATACGCCATTGATTAAAATAATTAAGTCTAACTGGCCCGAGCTATATTCCAAGAAGTTAAAATGTTTACTGGTGAACAATTGTTTTGCTTCATATTTGAATTTGAATTTTTTGTCTTTTTTATTCTGTTTTTTAATTTTTTTTGTACTATATTTCTTTTTGTTTGCACCATTATTTTGGCTAATAGATATTCGGGATCCATTACTGAATATCTCTTCCTTCCAATCATTTACACTCCATGATTGCTTCTCTGCAACCAAGTCTAACTTTGCTTTCCTCTTTTTACGTATTTTCGTTAAACTTTTCGGTATTTAAATTACATTTCTTTGAGGCGATTTATTGCACTTTTGTCCCAAACATAGTCACTTCTATCTGATCATTTGTTTTGCTGCACGTTTTCTATTATCAAAATATTATTTTAATCAAGTCACCCCGTACAAAGAGATAACGCCACAAAACTGCAAGAGGTTACTGGAAGTTAAGTAGAATGAAAAGGCTTTAGAATGAAACGGAAACCAAATAATAGTATACATTTCAGAGTTTAGGTGGAGACGTTAGAATTATAGAGTTGAAGTAGAATTTAGAAGGAATCTAAACAGGAAACAAGGGATAAAAATGTCCTATACCTTATACCACTTAGTAAGTTTTGATATCCATTCACACAAGGTAATCATGTAGATAGACGGCTACTTCCTCCTGTACTTTTTTTCGATATGCCTTGTGAGTGTAAAATTTCCATGCCCTCCTTCCTTATTATGTGTCTAAGAATTCTCAATATAAGTGTCCCATTTGTTCCATTTTCTTAAAGACCTCTTCACGTCCCGTCCATTCCAATCTATTTTCAGTCTCCTTTTGACTTCCTTGGAAAAACAAGAAAATTTACACACACATTTCTAATATTCTTTGTTTAAAAGGTCGGGGAGGAGTGTTATTCTGACTGTTTGACATATTCTATAGTTTACCTGTAGGTTTTCATTTTTCTAATCTTTCCATTTTATTTTTGCTTACACCAAATTTTGATACCTTTCCATTTTATTTTTATGTACACCAAAGTTTGAGACACAGCAGAATAGGAACAACCAACAACTTTTTGCCTGATTTCATATTGGATTTCCTTATCGTATGGGTTTCATAATCTTCTCCATTGTTTCAAATGACAGCTCCCTTGCTGGATCCACTTTTGCTTGCAATTAACCAAATGAAAACAGCTGCTGGCACTCACTTTTAATTGTCGACAATTGTATATTTATATCTATGTACAATAACATGTGGTGGACACTCCCGGTGAATTCGACTTATGAAGGTCAAGCAGCTCATTTCATAGCAACCGGCAGCCATACACTTGCACATATGATTAGATTGGCGAAATCTTTGTGCAGAACCAACCGTACTTTTCCAAGGGTCGAATACAGAGACCTGGTGCACTATGTGACACAAGGTCCCCAAACGACTCTCCGCAGGTTTCGAATTCAGAGTTTTCCTTCTCCTAGACAAGTGGCCATCCAAGGCTATAGAACCCAGTCTGTCCCGCTATTTTACCCATAGCTGTAGGGAGAAGAGGATTCATACCTTTTCAAGTGTATAAGCATGTAAGTGAATATAATTGATTCCAATGAATGCCTCAATCCGAATCGCTATCCACTACTCTACCTCCTATAATACAGGTAGGAAGATAGGAAGATTTTAACGCGTACTTAGCAATGGGGCTGTCATCTCTCATCCAAAGTTTATTTTTTTGCTCACGCGACATTAGTTTTGGCGTTAAAAAATAAAGTTCGATACTTTTTGAACGCACTTCGTACATATATATATATATATATATATATATATATATATATATATATATATATATATATATATATATATATTGTGTGTGTGTGTAAATGAGAGTAACCACAAACGTGTACTGCTATCACTATTTACAAAATATAAAGGAGTGCGAATAACATTTTACGTTCAACATGAATATATTGCGAATATTTTTTCCTTCTATACATTTTAAAATAGTTCAGCTCTCTCTCTCTTTCTCTCTCTTTCTCTCTCTCTCTCTCTCTTTCTCTCTCTCTCTCGCTCTCTCTCTCTCTCTCTTTCTCTCTCTCTTTCTCTCTCTCTTTCTCTCTCTCTCTCTTTCTCTCTCGCTCTCTCTCTCTCTCGCTCTCTCTCTCTCTCTCTCTCTCTTTCTCTCTCTCTCTCTCTCTCTCTTTCTCTCTCTCTCTCTCTCTCTCTCTCTCTCTCTCTTTCTCTCTCTCTTTCTCTCTCTCTCTCTCTCTCTCTCTCTCTCTCGCTCTCTCTACCCACTACATACGAGTATAAAGAAATATAGAACCGAACAGATTGTGATAGAAGGGCGGGGAAAGTAGTGGAGGGAGAGAAGAGTATATAAAGGAATAAGAATAGAATAAAATAGATATGAATATAGATGCATAGAGAGAGAGAGAGAGAGAGAGAGAGAGAGAAAGACGAACAGAATGAAATAGGTATGAACAGACTCTGACATACATAAACAGATAGATAGATAGATAGATAGATAGATAGATAGATAGATAGATAGATAGATAGATAGATAGATAGATAGATCTTAAACCCACAGAGCTTAGATGCTTAAGGTGTTCGGGCTTAAGTGTCAAAGCCAATAAACACTAGAGAAATAACATCAAAATGAAAAAATGTCTTCTATTCTCTTAATAACAGCTGAATAAACAAAGTTTCGAAATATTGCTTCTGCTATTTAAAGTGATTATTCCCCTTGATAAAATTCGATAAAAGTGGAATCTCTTAGGATGATGAAAACGTTTCAAGCTGGCATGATTCGTGTTCTAATATAGAAATTTATAACTGCTAAATGTAATTGCAGTTCCATTATAACAGACTTCGATGAATGAGAGTCTACAAACGTTTCATCGATAATAAACCCGTAATCTCCAGTATTTAGGTTCAATTCAACTTCTAGGGAATACGCGTCCCCTTCGAGAATTTAACATAATTGGCATAACTTCTATTCTACATAGAGTGACGTTAAATATGAAAGAGCATACAAAAATTTCAAAGTACAAATATGTTCATTTCAATTCAAACTATTCAAGAGCCGAATAGAATAAAACCATTTTAAAACTTATTTATTAGTATCTATTCTTAAATGACACGTTATTAGCCGTTGTTGCTTTTCATTATTGTTGTTTTGTTTCTAGTTTCAGTGTCAATTTTTAAGGGTTTTTTCTCTATTATAATTGTATTACTAGTATTCCTTCGTTTCTTATTTTGCTTTGAGACGAAGCAATCACAGAGCACTTAATGACAGACAATTACACCAGCAAAAACAAAAATTACAAGAGCGCATATAACTTGAAGTGAAAATAATGACATAATCAGTACGATGATTTGAATCCTAGCGGGGATTTGCGGACAGTGTAAGGGATAGCGCCTCAGAATGAGAACTCGAGTTCAAATTCCACTTGAGTACCTTATATTCAATTATACGCAAATGATATGAATTTATCCCCCCACCCCACCAAGCAAAGTGTTAAATTGTCACATTTGTCTCTGTAAAATATGTTATTCTCAAAAGTGTCAATGCAATATTCCCTCGCAAAAAAGAAAATTATTCTTATAAATCATCATATGTATAGCGTGCGATGGATAAATAGTCGTCTAAATTATACAATAATGAAAATAATACTAACATCTCATTAACTGATATATTTACCAAAATTATCCAAAAATATCTTGATATACTAATAAATTTATTCGATAAAAACGTCATTGGGCTCAACTACATCTTTCTGTCTTCGGAATCTCCTGCATCTCTCCTGGGTGGTCTTCTTGTTTAAGTTGGGAAATGATGCCATAATCCTTGCCTTCAGTTCGTTTTTGGTGTTACAAGGTGTTTTGTTGAACTCTCGCTAAACTGTGCCCCACAAGTAATAGTCAAGGGCATTACAGTTTGGTTGGTCAGATGTAAGGGATGATGTGGTTGCAGAAATGGTCTGACAGCGATGAGTGGGTTCTCCTGCTTGTGTGGCATGGTGCAGAGTCCTGTTGCCATACATAGGGTCTTCCAACAACCACCCTCTTAACCCAGAGCAGTACTACCTCCTCAAGCCAGGGAATTACGTCATGGTGATATTTTTCTCGCAGACGGTGCCCAACTGACCCTATTATCCTGTGAAGTCAACAAAATCAAAAACAAGCATCACGCATGTGCTAAATTAAAAAATATAAAATGGCGACAATTTACCCATCATGCCCTGTATATCATATTCGATTATATTTGAAAAGGCTTAACAAATTTTCGCTGTGTTTAATGTCGGAATAATTTATGTATCCCTCAAAAGGTATTAACATTGATTGATTCATTTTCTACGGCTTAACAACACTTTGCAGATTACTTTATGCCGGAAAACATTTTTAATTTTTTTTTTCTGATATAATAATGATTTACTGATTTTTTTTTTCCTGATTTACTCATGTAAGATTTACTAATTAAACTAATAGATGGGGGAGAAGAGGTGGATTCATAATTTTTTCCCCAAGGGTATTTGCGCGTAAATGAATACAACGAACCCAAATGGAAACAGAACTCTGCTTTCCGATTAACAATTTCGAGCCATTATCCATTATACCACTTATACATACAACTTTGCAGCACATGGTATTCCCAAGCGGTCACGCATTTAGGTACTGACGAGGCTCGACGTTGCTTAACTACGGTAATCTTATGGGAAGCGGCGGTGTAGCCGTAAGCCAACACATAGATAGATAGATAGATAGATAGATAGATAGATAGATAGATAGATAGATAGATAATCAATGATAGATAGATTTGTTTTTACGCCTTTTCAACCATATGTGGTATATTTAAAGCCGAAACATATTTTGATTTAGAACAATAATTCTGTTTGTTGTGAGTGAATATTCAGTCAGTTATGTACCGTGTTACACGCTTAGGCGATCATGTATCTTTCGATACATGACTGATGAGGCAGATTTTTTTCTCGCAGTAGTTTTCCATTTCTTTCTGCGGTAGACCAGGTGCCATCCAAGGCTATAGAACCCGGTCTGTCCTGCTATTTTACCCATAGCTGGAAGGGAATAAGAGGATTCATATTTTTCCTAAGGGTATTAGCACGTAAGTGAATGTAATGGAAATCGAACTTGGCTCTCCGATTCCTCAATTCGAGCCGTTAACTATTTACTGAGAATAAACAGATTTTTTTTCAGAAACTATTATTTAACCCTACAGTGGGGAGATTCATTTTTACCTTTCCTATTGGTATTTACGCGCGAGTGTGCGTAAAGAAACCAATTAGAATTCGAAATCGGCTCTTCCACTGAAATTCGAACTATTTATTACACCATCTGCACATCCATGGGATAGATTATTAACTGGTTTTACTTTATTTTTATATTTTATTTCTTTCTCCATTTTAGAGTATGTCTATTTTATCTGTATGTAATGTTTATGGAAACGAAAAAAAAAGTCTGTTTTAAACGTAATGATATGATTAAATTAACATCAACATATTGAGAAAATCATTGATACCCATTTTCCACCCATTTACATCTCAGTATTGTTTAATGTATTTCAATAAATTTAGTAGCGGTTTATATGATTGTACTTATTTATTAATAAAAGGTTCATTTGAAGCGATGATTTTTTTTTCTTCGTAGTTACTTGCATCATATTTTATTAGTATAATTGTATGTGTCGATATAAACATAAAATGACTCAACAAGCCTGTCTTGTCAGATGCACTAGTTGTATGCCATGTATTTAGTAGAGATTCGAGTAACCTGGAGACGGACAGTTTCAGAACAAGCCTAAACACGTAGCATCGTTGCTTCTGCCGCTACTGCCTTCCTCTTCAAGCCTCGTTTTGAATTTACTTGAGTGTTCTTTGTGTCTGGTTAAATATCGTTCCTTTAGACTGTATTATCGCTTACGAGAGTGTCAATATCCAAACAAAAAGATACAGACACACACCGAAACGCACGCACACAGACACACACGCACACACAAGCACACACACACACACACATATATATATATATATATATATATATATATATATATATATATATATATATATATATATATATATGTCACTTAAACGTTTTTTAGTGGATACCCATATTTGTGTAGACGCTCCGTTTAATTTTTCAATCGGTATTCTATTTTCGTATAACGGCATGAATATTCTAGAAATCTTATTAAAGAAAAATGCGTCTTTCGGTAGGATTCTAACCTGACGGAGGGTGGATTTATATCTATTTATTGTAAAAGAGAGCTCAATAACCTAGAGAGGTTGTGGATAAAGAATACAAAAATAAATAATCTAAAGGCCATGTGTTTAAATAACGCAAAACATTAATAAAAAACAAAACAAAAACTGGTTTCCTACATCCATTAATTTCCTTGTAGTAGTGGCCCATATAGAAAGATATCTAAATGAAAAGTAGCAGATATTCTGAAGATTTGACAGTCAATGCGTCTAGATAATTCTGTTAATATAGATTACTTAAATATATAACAAAGTGGACCCTGAGGACAACACCAAGCGGCGAGAGTATGTTTCGTGTTTGAACATAATCTTCAGGGTCAGAAGAATACGTTCGCTACTTAGTGTTGACCTCAGTGTCCACTTTGATATTTACATACGCTCTCAGATATTAAGTAATTAAATATACTATAAATTAAAACTATATATTTATCATATACATACAAGGTGCGAAGGATAAATTGTCGTTGTGGATAAATTGCGATGTGATAAATTACGCAAAAAGGAAAAAAATTACTGACATTTCAATTTTAACAGATATATTTACCAAAATTACACAAAACTATCATAGAATACTAAAGAGTAAATTTATTCAACAAAATTGCCATTGGATTCAACCCCCGTCCTTCCAACTACGGTATCTCCTCCATCTCTTCTGGATAGTCTCCTTGTTTAAGTTGGGGGATGCTGCCATAATTGGTGTTACAAGGAATTTTGTTTATCCCCCATTCAACTGCGTCCCACAAATAATAATCAAGGGGTTTCAGTATAGGGAGTTTGGTGACCAGATGTAAGGGGTTACATGGTCGCAGAAATAGTTTGACAGCCATAACCGGTTTCTCCTGCTTATGTGGAATTGTGCAGTGTCCTGTTGCCATATACAGAGTCTTCCAGCCGCCATCCTCTTGGCCAAGAGAAAGCACGTAATGTACGCCTCCGTGTTTAGTTTGAGGCCCCGTGGGAAGATTAATGGAGGCATAACGTCGTCGTTACTTGTGATGACTCCCAATAGCTTCGTAATCACCATTAGACTTATCCTACTCATTCTGAATTCTCTGCATTTTCCTCAGATTGACATTCAAACTCTCTGAAATGTTCATATTGGAGCTTCTGCCACGAATGCCAAACAGTACAGCATGCTGTTTCGATTTTTTTTTTTTTTTTTGAGTCATGCTGCTCTTTTTCTCACCTAGCTCACCCTACTATACTGCATGGTCGAAATTAAAAAATATAAATTGCGACAATTTACCTGTTGCACTCTGTGTGTGCGTGTGTATATATATACGTATATATACGTTATTTTTATACGTACAAACATTTAAGTAAATGCTGCGCTTATAAAAAACAGTATTAAAAACATTTACCGGTTTGAATGTCTGAGAAAATTCATAGAAAATATATGTCCCCCGATATGAATCAAACCTGTATCCTACACGGAATCGTCAAATAGCCTGACAGGCTATACTATTTAGCTACAGAGGAAGCGTCATGTCAGCAAGGTCGAATTACTGCTTTTAAACTAGAAATTTCCTATGATTTCTTTGGAACGCACATATCTGCTCGAAGCGTATCTTAACATAAACAAATGACGTTATATATTATGAAATAGAAAATTTAAAATTTAAAAGCAGTAATATATATATATATATATATATATATATATATATATATATATATATATATGAATGATAAAATACAGTTTTATGGTATGCTACAATAATGGGACAATATAACCAAGAATAATGTTATGTAAATTCTAACGAAATCCCAAAAAATGGAAATCCTCAGGAAATGACAACATACCCAATTTTTTAATCTATCATCTGTCATCAATCCATAAAACCCTTGCATAATCTTCATCAATTGTTAATTAAAAATCCCAATGAATTCCCAGAAAGGATCACTGAAGGTATTACATATTTCCTACCAAAAGAGGGTGAAACAGATGATCCGAAAAATTATAGTCCAATAACATATCTGTCCACCACGTATAAATTGTTCACTTCTGCCCTGAAGAACTGTACTTCCTCTTTTCACGTTGAAAACAATATTTTTCCCTTGGAAAAGAAGGGATGTGGGAGAGGTTCATATGGTTGCAAAGATCAACTACTGATAAACCAAATGATCTTCCAAAACTGCAGGAAAAGAGGTAGAAATCTCAGCACAGCATGAACATGATAATGTAGCACACTCTTGAATACTTAAGGCTTGGAAATATACAAAGTCTCCTCGATGATCGTAAATTTCCTTAAACGCAGCACGGAAATGTGAAAACCCATAATATACACACATTACACCAAAGGCTTTGCCACATCCAACCACCTGAATATCCGACGAGAAATCATTCAAGGGGTCTCCCTGTCACGCCTTCCGTTTTGTCAGTCCTTTATCCCCCCTTTTTTATGAACTAAACAATAATAAAGAACTGGAACAAGAAGAAGTCTATAGGAACCTAATAATTATCGAAGGAAATAGAATAGACTATACACAAATGAAGGAGAAAGTAAGAAATGAAAGCTAAAAACGTGTCCGTCTGGTATTGAATACCAATTTCAATTAAAAAAAACTAACATCAGCCATCTTGGCTGTACCTGTGGTGGAATACAGTTTCAACATCCTTACTTGGATCATAACTTACATTAAGCTTATAACTTGCCATTGCATGTATTATCCCAAGACTGATATTGATCGTCTGAATGTGCCCAGACCCGAAGGAGGCATAGGATTAGTTCAACTGGAACTGTCTTTGAAAAACTACAACACTCGAGCAGCAAATATACCTAGAAGCTACAGAAGACTGGATTATGATCTGTGTCTAAGAACATAAAAGAAATAAGAAACTGTATTCATTAATAAAGGCAGCCGACAATTTCAAAATGGACTTTCAATTGGGTGAAGAAATGCAAGTAAAACATTGTCCACCTACTGCAGCGGCAAAAACTTTAAAAAGAATGCAAAAACTGATGCAATGGACCAGATACAGAAACGAGATCAAGATAAACATATGCACGGTCAATATTCTGCCATAACCAAACAGATTGATGTAAACAACCCCCGTAGCCATCAGTAGTTATGTAGAGGAGGGTTAAAAGCCGAAACTGGAGTTTTTATTCTTCAATTGACAATATGTATCAGGTTGCATGGTATTGGAACCCACTGAATATAAACCCGCCATGACAGAATGGGCCAATATCTGCATTGGAAAATCTACAGCTTCTACGGAAATGAAACTGCAAGAAATTGGTATGAACACCACCGAGACACGGTTACAGAGAAAGGACCTGTAACAATTTTATGGGCCTTTACAATACATTCAGAGAAAACAATCAAAGCTAATATGTTAATCTATTTGTTCATTATCTATTTATTTATCTGTCTCTCTCTCCGTCTCTCTCTCTCTCTCTCTCTCTCTATCTATCTATCTATCTCCATCTGGTCATTATCAATCTATTTATCTATGTACATCTGTTCGTCATGCATCTATCTATCTATCTATCTATCTATCTATCTATCTAATCTATTTATATATATATATATATATATTCAGTTCTATTATGTTCATTATCAATCTATATGTCCATTATCTATCTATATATCTATCAAATCTATCTCCATCAGTTCTATCTATCTATCTATCTATCTATCTATCTATCTATCTATCTATCATCTCTCTCTCTCTCTCTCTCTCTCTATATATATATATATATATATATATATATACATATATATTCAGTTCTATTATGTTCATTATCAATATCTCTATATGTCCATTATCTATCTATATATCTATCAAATCTATCTCCATCAGTTCATTATCTATCTATCTATCTATCTATCTATCTATCTATCTATCTATCTATCTATCTCTCTCTCTCTCTCTATATATATATATATATATATATATATATATATATATATATATATATATATTCAGTTCTATTATGTTCATTATCAATCTCTCTATATGTCCATTATCTATCTATATATCTATCAAATCTATCTCCATCAGTTCATTATTATTCATCTATCTATCTATCTATCTATCTATCTGTCCATTCCATCTATCTACCTATCTATCTATCTATCTATCTATTTATATATATATATATATATATATATATATATATATATATATATATATATATATCTGTAAGCTCCACATCTTCATAAGAACTTCTACTCTGTGTGTCAGACTCCCCATAGTAGATTTTCTCAATCAGTACAATCTTGACATCTTCATGTCTAGTTTTAACACTTATGCATAGCCCCATGAATACGACTTCTTGCTTTTTGTTATGCTCATACAACACCACCTTTACATTGACTAGATTTTGTGCCGTGCATTCGTTGAACATTGCCGTTTTAAAAAAAAAAGTACGCAATTATAAAATTGGGAATCAGCACTGATTGCTGATGGAATTTGTTCTGTTAATGCGTCACTCTGGGATAAACGGTTGTTCCGTCGAATCGATCGATCTCTGAGATTCAATATGTTGGCGTGTTTCCTTTTAGCTACGATGCTGTGCTTAGATTTGGTGACCTCTTGATAGAGCGAAAGAAATAGGCGACATTCTCGGTAGAGTTACGGAAATAGGTGAGATTTGGAAAGAGTCACGAAAATAGACAACATTTCGGTAAAGTTAATAAAAAAGGTATCATTACAATACTTAGAGAAATGGTGACATTTCGATACAGATAAATATATGGACGCAGCTATGGAAATAGATGATATCCTTGGCGAGCTAGGGAAAATAGACAGAGCTATGAACATAAGTAACCTCTCAAAAGATCTGGAGAAATTGGATGACCTCTCGAAAACAGTTTGCATCTCAATAGTGATAAAGAAGTAAGTGACATCTCTGTAGAGGTTTTAATCATTTCACCCCAAGCAAAACAATAAATTCTACTCGGATGTAAAGGTTTTAGAGAAACTGAAAGTAAAAGAGAGAACAGTAAAAGGACTAGATTCAAGGGGACAAAAGATAACGATTGACATTTTTGAGTTAGGAAAATAGATGACAAATCGACAGAGCCACAGATATTGTTAAAAAATCGAAGTATTAAATGGCGAATTTTGATTGGTTGGAAAATATGTTTATCATTTTACCACTAATTTTACCGTTGTCTGAAAATAATATCAAATCCATATCATTAATAAGAGCGGAAATAAAATTTTTATTTGAACTTTAAAGAGGGAACATGGTCACTACAAAGAGTATTTTACTAAATACAGAATTTCTCTACCGTATTTCTCTTCGATGCAGACGTTCCCTCTGAGACGCCTGCTTTCTGCATTTTATTTGAGTTTACTTTAGATTTGCACTTTTTTGTTGTTATGTTTCGTTACTTAATCGTTTTGCCTATTTTAATCACATATTTTATTTCCTTCCTCAAAACTTACGAATCTTGGAATTTTTTTTACTATCTTTGAATTGAATTTCTTTCATAAACTAAAACGTTTTTATACGTTTACTATTTGATGTTGTATTTTCGGAGGTATGTCTGCAGAGTGAGACAGATATAATGATCTGAAACTTTCAATGTATAATGAAATATCCATGTGATTAATGGATTAAGTGCATAGAAAAAAAAAGATAATCTTGAAAAAGAAACATTAGTTGACAAAATTAAATATTATTCACGAGGCTACGGATATATGTCTGTGTATGTATCTTTTTCAGGAGACAGACCCACAGAGAATACGAACGATGTGAATGCATTAGGCTGACTCTGAATTTGATCTCGAAATATAGCCTTGACCACACATCGCATCGTATCTAATATATATATATATATATATATATATATATATATATATATATGTGTGTGTGTGTGTGTGTGTGTGTGTGTGTGTGTGTGTGTGAAAAAGTATATAAATATAAATAAATATATATATGTATAATTATTTATATATTATTGTATTTATAGAAAGCGCTCAATATTTATATTTGGTTGGATAGATGAGTTTTGACCCTGGCCACACTTCCAATCTTTTAAATTTCAACATTTCAATATACAAATGCGTATGTATAGACACAACACCACCCGTATACATACATATGTCATATCCGAAACTGCCAACATATTTTATATATGTATGAGTCCTGACGGACGACCAAGTATATATGTGTCTGCATACATCGATGTTTGCGTTAGTACGATGAATGACAAAACGACGAAGTTCCCCCCACCACTTCCACAATAACACCAATACACTCAATCTATATAAACCCAATTAATCAGTTTGTTTGACGATCGCTAAAGCGTGAAACCCAGGGTAACAAACTCACATCAATCCAACCAAATATATATAGTTTGATTTGAATTTTACAATTGTGCGTTCTTGTACAAATATGGTGATAAGCGAATTCTTTTTTACTGGTAAATTTTCTGTCAAAGTGGCATGAACTATATTGTTCAATAATTACAGTAATGTCGCACTTATTATCCAAAAGTTGCACTTGGAAGTTATTTTAATTTCAATAAAGGTGCAATTAATTTACAACATGACTTATTCATACAAAAACAAATACAAAGGTTAATGATTTAATTTGTACAAGAACGCACAATAAATATCAAAATCAAACTCATACACGCTCCAAAAAACAATAACTCTAATAGCATTTTTCGGATACAACAATACATATATTTTCGTTGTCCTCTTATTACTGAGAAAAAAACAAGAACAACATCTATTCCATACCTGAAGAGGAACAGACGAAAGCTTGTAGTAAAAATAAGAACTAATGCAACAGAAATTTATAAAACAAAGGATTTTTTCATTCATAACAGGTTCGGGTTTTTGTATATTATTTGAATTGTTTGCGACGATGGATTTTCGCCAATTAAATCATTAATCTTTGTATTTGTTTTTTGTATGAATAATTCATGAATTTGTAAATTAATTGCACCTTTTATTGAAATTATATATATATATATATATATATATATATATATATATATATATATATATATATAATGAATATATTGAATAACAACTGTAGAAATGTTTCCGTAAACTAGATACATAACATTGAAACATGAATAACTGCAAGTAATTTTTTAATATTTGTCTGACTATTTATCTATATGTGCACGCCGGAACATATTCATCATTTATCTGTCTGAAAACTCATGTTATATCTTAAGATTTTGGTGTGTAAAAGAAAAGGCGGATAAAAGAAACATCAGATAACAACAGACGAGAAAAGAATCGAGAGGACAACTATCAATCCTTCCTGAAATGTGAAATTTTCACTGTGGAGACATGGTTGCGTTTAATCATTAAACTCTTCGCAACAAAGACTTATTTTGCCTTAGAAAATTTATTTTAATTAAATTTCATCCTATTCCCCAGGTATTGTCCTATTGCGTTTTATTTATAGACGAAATAAATTATTTACTCCATAACAGAAACAAAACACGTAAATATACGATGTAGCTTTGAGTAAGCATCAAGCACAAACAGATCGGACCCCAGACTACCATCATGACGATGTCGGGTGTCCCTTCGGAGAGTCACCGTGCCTTGAGAGACTAATGGGACTTAAACTCAAGCCTGACCTCAAGTGGGACTTATACATATGAGCCATTGCTAAAGATGCAGGTAAACTCGTCGGCTCCCTGTAGTGATCCATGTGCTACCATCTGTCTTTAAAAGAGACAGATCAAGCCAAGAATAAAGTACTGTTGTCATATTTGGGCCGGAAGCTGAATTGGAAAAGATTCCGACAGATTCATTGTTGGGATTCCTGGTAGCCCATACCTTAAAGAAATATAGAAAATTGTACTCACAAGTACAGTTTACACATTAGGAAGAGCTTTATCTATGTAAAATTTGTGTCATCTTATTTTGTTTTTTTTGCAAAAATGATCAATTGAAAATCCCATGAAGCCATTTCTAACCTTAGGTCACCCGGAAGGACATGTAACATATAACAGCAATCAAAAGAAGTAATAATAATAATAAACGCTCAAAAACTGAACACGATACAGAAAATATTTTATAAAACTAAATAATATACATTGAACTAATGTAAACCTTAATATATAATCTACTTTTGGTACATAATAACATTATATCTTTGAAACGTTTCTGTTCACAATTCTCACTTGTTTACATCCATGTTTCTATGTATGTAGTGTATAGCTGGCCACTCATTTCGAGGATACCAGTCTACTAGGGTGGCTAGCTAATCCCTATTGCAGACGCTTGCTCAGGAGCATTTGTGTTTATTCAACAGCCACAGAGCCCACCTTTTATATTTATAGGTTTATACTGCAACTATGCTGAGCAGACCTTAGTTATAGTTTCTGGGAACGAGCGTTCAACAATTTGAACAAGGCCAGCACGATCAAGCCCTCAGCCGCGATGACTCTGGACTTCGTGCCAGCACAGCTATCGACGACACCCAATTTCACTCACAAGGCTTGGGTCAATCCCTCCAATCCGATAGCATCTATGGTGAGATTAGAACCAGGGTCTCATTGTTAGAATGCGAATGATCTAACCACTCAGCCACGTGACCATACATCAATGTTTACTACACAATCAAATATACTACTATAAAGAAAAGGATGCTATACTAGGATCATCATAACGAGACCTTCAAATGGATGTCATGGCGTCAATCCCGCTCAGAAATATCCAAACTGGCAGCTTTATAAAAATTATTTCTAAGATCAATGATTAAAACTAGTTTTGAGGGAGTGAAACCTCCGTGTGTTGTGAACTAATGCTACAGAACCACAAAGAAGGGCTCTAGCAAAAACAGATAGGACATCACTTGAGAACTTATCTTCAGCAACAACTAAAATGGATATCACATGTAACTGGAAGAGAAATATCATCAAGATGTTGACATTCCACTCTGCTTCAGATAAAAGGTTAGAAAGGAAATCCTCATCAATATTGGAAAGAACGATAACAGCTTCTGAACTGGATGAACCTATACTCTCGAAAAATTGCTTTCAAAGAAATATTTTATAAATTGCAAGCGACTGTAATTTAGACTTCTCAGATACCAAATATTTCCTTATGAGGAAATGGC